AAAAATATTTTAAGTCCGAATGAATTTGCTTGTGCTGCCTGTTCCCAATGGAAGTTAATAATCAAGCCATCTCCAACAGAGGTTGGATTTGAATCCCCAACTTTTCTGGAAAGAATTCAGGGTGATATTTGTGGATCAATAGATCCATCGTGTGGACCCTTTAAGTAATTTATGGTACTAATTGACGCGTCAACGCGATGGTCACATGTATGTCTGTTATCTACTCGCAATCTAGCTTTCGCTAGACTACTTGCACAAATAATTAAATTGCGAGCACAATTTCCAGATCATCCAATAAAGAAAAAATGTTTAGATAATGCTGGAGAATACTCATCACATACATTTGATAGTTATTGCATGTCAATTGGGATTACTGTGGAACATCTTGTTCTCCATGTACATACGCAAAATGGCCTGGATGAATCCCTTATCAAAAGATTGCAATTAATTGCTAGACCATTGTTAATGAGGTCTAAACTTCCCGTATCACGTTGGGGACATGCTATATTGCATGCAGCAGCCCTCGTGAAAATAAGGCCGTGATAGTTGGAAATTGCATGCGTTTTATGTTCATATCATATGCGATATTTGGGTGATTTTGATTGGATTCTACCTAATTTATATGCGAATTGTTTATTTGCTGTGTGCAGAGGGAAAATATTAAATTTGGCATAATTAGCAGAAAAAAAAAAGAAATAAAATTAATTAAAGGTCCAAAGCTCATCTACAAAATAATTAGGGCAAAAATCAAATAAGAAGGAAAAAGACACGTCTATTTGGTAAGGAAGAACGACTAGGGCAGAGACGCACATGAGCAGGAGACTGAAAAATTCATAGATCGCGCAGGAGCAAATCGACAGAGAAGATTTCCCCCTCCCACTATGACTTCATCTTTCTCTTTTATTCTTTGTTATTTGATTATGGAGTAGATATTTTTTCTGGTTTGAGATGTGATAATGTTTTGGTTCTTTTGTTTTGGAGATTCTTGATTTTCTTTATAAAAGTTCTTTTTCATTATCAATATTTGTCTAATTCTGAGAATAGCGTTTGTGATTGTTAGATTGATTGAATATTTTGGTACAAATATTTAAATTAGTCTGATAATCTAAAGTCAATTCAGGTAGGATATCCGTAATTGTATTCGCACTTGAATAGGTGACAACCGGGTTGAATAGTTCCTTCCCGGGGGTTAGACAATCAAATCTAATTGCTCATCCTAGGTAGTAATTGTTTTGAATTGGGTTTTTCTAGATTGGAATGCGGTTAGGCAATATTCTTAGGTACGCACCTAGGTTTATTTGCTTAATTAGGGGTAGTTAACGGTCATACCTTAATTACCTACATTGTAAGGAAAAATTGGTTGTCAGAACTTGTTGATAACTATAACCAATTTATTGATACTTTAATAATAATTAACTTTATTGAATTAATGACAAAACACAAGTGCCATAACTGCATCGTCCCTTGAGCCAGACATCCCCTTGATAGTCAGTTCCCCCTTAATTTAATTGCTTTGTTATTTTACTTTCATTAGATAATAAAAGAAAAATCCCCCTTTATTTACTACATTAGAATACGAAAGAGTGAATCACACAATCCCTGTGGAGACGATCTCTTCCCCTGTATTACATTAAATTGTGATCACAGATTAGGTGAAATATTTGATTGACCGCGCGACAGGTCAAATTTTGGCGCCGTTGCCGGGGATTGGCGCTTTGTTTTAGTCTTTTGTGTTATTTTAATTTATCATCTTGTTTATGCCCCGTTCTTCTCGTACAGGTGAATTGATATTTAATCTTGAGATCGAGAAGGTTGAACGAAAACTACGAAAGGAAGCCAAGCAACAAAAAGCTGCTCAGGTTGCGAAGCTGGCAGAATCTTTAAACCACCTCAGAATCTCTAGCTCTAGCGACTCTGAAAGTGATCAAGAGACTGTCATGGCTGAGGATACCCGCACTCTAAGGGAGTTGGCTGCTCCCAACTTGGCGCAGCAGCCTTTATGCATTAACTTTCCAACTCTGAATAACACTATTGCTTTTGAACTGAAATCTGGTTTAATAATCCATTTACTGCCTTCTTTTCATGGACTTGCAGGTGAAGAACCTCACAAACACTTGCAAGAATGCGACGTGGTGTGCTCCAGCATGAAACCACCAGGTGTTACTGATGAACAGATCAAACTCAGAGCCTTCCCATTCTCACTCAAAGATGCTGCAAATGATTGGCTTTACTATCTCCCACCTGGAAGCATCGACACGTGGAACGACATGAAAAAGAAATTTTTGGAGAAGTACTTTCCAGCTTCCAGAGCTGCGATCCTGAGGAAGGAAATATGTGGCATCAAGCAACAATCAGGTGAAACGCTCCATGAATATTGGGAGCGATTTAATAAGCTTATCATTAAATGTCCACAACATCAAATTCCCCCTCAACTATTGATTCAATATTTTTATGATGGTTTATCATTGATGGACAGGAACATCATCGACGCTGCAAGTAGTGGAGCTTTAGTAAATAAGACGCCGGCACAAGCTTGGGATCTTATTGCGAGGATGGTTGAAAACACGCAGCAATTTGGTTCAAGAGATGTTGGACATATGAGCGGAAACAATAACGACCATACCATTCAATCGATACAGCAACAACTTTCTGAGTTGACGAGCTTTGTTCGCAAGATGGTCGTGGAAAAATCCAACCCGAGTGTCCAGGTCAAGGCGTGCGGAATATGCACGAGTAGAGGCCACCCTACGGATGCATGTCCAACCCTAAAGAGGTTGATACTAAAAATTATGATGAAAGTGATGATGAAGTTATTGAAACTTCTGTTAACTATACCGCCAGTGGAAAATATTGGAACAAAAAGAAAACAAATATTAATAATGCATTTGCAAATTCTGTAGCACTCGATATAATGAAAGATGACGAGGATTATGACCAAAAATCAGTTGATGAATATCGGCAAAGAGATGATTGGGCAAAATAGAAAGACACAATTAAGTCTGAATTGGACTCATTGAAAAAACGGCAAGTATTCGGCTCTATAGTCTAAACACCGAAAAATATGAAACCTGTTGGTTACAGATGGGTGTTTGTGAGAAAATTAAATGAAAATAATGATATCACAAGATATAAAACAAGACTTTGTGAGAAAAAGAAATGAAAACAATTATATCACAAGATATAAAGCAAGACTTGTAGCCCAGGGTTTTTCCCAGAGATCAAATATTGATTTTGAAGAAACATATTCGCCGGTCATGGATAAAATAACATTCAGGTATCTGGTGAGCCTTACAGTACACAATAATCTTGATATGCGATTAATGGATGTGGTTACTGCCTATCTTTACAGCTCTTTAGACAATGACGTCTACATGAAAATTCCGGAAAGGATCAAGATACCTGAATCATTCAAATCAAAGCCAAAAGAATCATATTCCATCAAATTACAAAAATCTTTGTATGGGCTCAAACAATCGGGCCGAATGTGGTACAATCGTCTCAGCGAAAGCTTAACTAAAGAAAGTTGCATAAATGACCCTATATGTCCATGTGTTTTTATAAAGAAAAATGGGTCTGAATTTGTAATCATCGTTGTATATGTCGATGATCTCAATTTAATTGGAACTCTTGATGAAATCCAGAAAGCTGTTGAATATCTGAAAAAAGAGTTTAAGATCAAAGATTTTGGAAAAACTAAGTTTTGCCTTGATTTGCAAATTGAGCATTTGGAGAGTGAAACCTTTATCCACCAATCAAATTATACCAAAAGGATATTAAAACAATTTTTGATAGATAAGTCACATCCGCTAAGTACCCCAATGATCGTCAGAGCACTCGATCCAATAAATGATCCATTTAGACCAAAAGAGGAAAATGAAGAAACACTTGGCCCAGAAGTGTCATATATGAGTTCTATAGGCGCATTGATGTATCTTGCTAATAGCACCCGACCTGACATATCATTTGCTGTACATTTATTGGCAACATTTAGTTCATCGCCTACTCGACGACAGGAATGAGATTAACCACATTTTTTGCTATCTCCAAGGAACAATTGATCTCGGGTTATATTACTCGAAAGATTCTCGACATGAATTGATTGGTTTTGCCGATGCAGGATATTTATCGGATCCCCATAAAGCCAAGTCGCAAACTTGCTATATATTCACTTGTGGTGAAACAGTGATCTTTTGGAGATCGATGAAACAACCACTTCTTCAAATCATGCTGAAATATTGACAATACATGAAGCTAGTCGCGAGAATGTGTTTGGTTAAAGTCAATGACTCAATATATTTTGAAAAATTGTGGGTTAATACCTGACGATAAAATTCCCCCAACTACATTATATGAAAATAATACAGCTTGTATAGCGCAATTAAAAGGGGTTACATTAAAGGAGATAGAACGAAACATATTTCACAAAAAAAAATTTTTACTCATGATTTACAACAAAATGGTGAAATCAATGTACAAAAAATTCGATCAGATAATAATTTAGCAGAAATATTAACCAAGACATTACCGATTGCAAGATTTGAAAAATTGGTAAAGAAAATGGAAATGCGTCGGTTCAGGGATCTCAAATAATGTTCAGATTAGGGGGAGCGAATTGATACAATAATGTTGTACTCTTTTTCCTTCACTAGGATTTTTAGTCCCACATGATTTTTTCCTAATAAGGTTTTAATGAAGCACATTCTTTGTATAAAGCATCTAAGGAGGAGTGTTGTACACGTAGCCGCGACAAATCTATTTATGTAATGTATACATAGGCAAAATGTGGATGCTTTCATAGCTGAATATATTGAATGAATTTGCCTATAAATAGGCATTACACAATGAAATGAATAAGATTCAGTTTCATTCACTCGCTTATGCTCTTTTCATCCCTCAACTTAATTAATTATTAGCATAACATATTATATATACATATATAACTACACTAGCATACACATAACACATATATATATATATATAAAAGCATATACAGCGCCACACACACTTATATCTATTTACATATATTTATATACACAATATATATAATATAATACAATATATAAAATAGTAGTTACCGATAAAAATAATTAATATTTCTTTTTCTATCCCTATAATCATATTATGCAATTTTGCCTTTCAATATTTTTCTTTAAAAAATAAATTGGTTTCATCGCATCGTAAAAGACCGCCGCACGTGCTCACGTGCGAATGACGTAAGCGCGGAACCTTTCCAAATTTATGAACTGTCAACTTCAAACTCGATCCCCAATCCCCATTGTCAGCCGTCCCCATTGTCTCCCATCCCCGCGCCGCCATGGTTGCCGCCGCCGCCGGAGACGCCTCCCTCTCGGCGCCGCTCCTCGCCTCCGATCACATAGTCCTCACCGTCCACCCCGACGCCGCCGATTGTCGTCGACCCCTAATTCCGCCGACGGCCGACGACGGCAATCCGTTCGCGTTCATCGGCGCCCGCGACGGCGTGGAGTCGCCGGATACGAGCCCGATCGATCCCTTCCGCAACCACACGGCGGCGGCCGTCGGCGGTCTTTACGAGGGGCTGAAGATCCTGGCGTGCCTCCCACTCGCCGCCGCCCGGCTGGTGCTGTTCGGCGCGTGCCTGGCGGTGGGGTTCGTGGCGACGCTTCTGGCCCTGCAGGGATGGAAGGACAGGCAGAATCCGATGCCCCAATGGCGGCGCCGCGCCATGTGGGTCACGCGCCTCTGCGCACGCGCCATCCTCTTCTCCTTTGGGTAGGTATATAGTGCTTTAATGATTAAGGTTTCCGTTCTCTGCAAGAAATCGCCGCCGTTTTGTCGGAAATTGAAATATATCGATTGAATATAACGTGGAGTAGTTTGGACTTTTGATAAGTAATAGATTTGATATTTTTATCTAAAAATAGGATTATGATAGAGTTTTGAGTTTGTTTGAAAATAGTAAAATGTTAGAATTAAAAACAAGTCTTCTTTGTTATATAAATATCGGTGTTTTGAATAGAAAATGGAATTTTGGATATGGCTTTTTAGCCTGTTCTGAAATGGTAAAAAATTGAAAAGAAAAAAATTGATTTGTCTATTTCGGGGTTATTTTTAGGTTTTGGATTTTAGTTTATTCCTTATGAGTATGTTTACTTGTAAGATTTTATTTATAATTTTGCTATTCTAATTTTTTTTTCCTCCAAAAATATCAAAATAAACACCCAATTTTAATTTATTTTATTATAATAAAATTTATTTTATATTCAAAAAATATAGTATCAAACAACTATTTCAATTCAAATTTTAAAACCTCCCAAGTAAACACACCCAGTGGCCAGCACTATGAAATCAAATAATACTTCCTCCGTCATAAAAATCTGTGTTTATTCCTATTTTACAAAAGCATTGAGCACAAATTTTAACGACATAGTATATTTTTATTAAAAATTGTAAGGTTTGATGCAATGTTGTTGGATGTTATATGTAAATCAAGTTTGGATGCAATTAAGGGTGTGTTTGTGTGGGGGTTTGGATTATGAGTTGGGATTTGAATAGTAAAAATTTTGAATTTGAATACTTGTATAATGTGATATAAAAAGGTGTTAGATGTGATGTTTTGAATGTAAAATTAATTTTTAGTATAATATAAAAAATAAAAAATAAATGTTTGATTTAATATTTTTGAGAAAAAAAAAAAAAAAAAGAATGAACAGTGAATTTAAAATTCAATCCCCAAACAAACACACCCTAATGAAAATATTTTTTTCTTACAAAGATTCCCATTTCTCAATGGATTTCAAACGATCACAAACAAAACAGTAAATTTTATCTTTTTGTCGAGCTTCGAACTAATTGAGGTAAGAGATTCTCCATTTATATAAGAGATTTTTTTGGAAGTTTTGGGGTTTTGAAAATTTAGAAATAATAAAAATTTATATTTGATACAAATTTTTGTGAGAGTAAAATATATTTAATTTGATGCTTTTGCAAAATTGAATAGTGCCAAAATTTGCAAAGTGGTTGTACAAGCATAGTTTCTCTGATTTCAATTTCGATTTCAATTTTCTCACATCCTCCGAACCGCAGCTACCATTGGATAAAAAGGAAAGGCAAGCCAGCTCGAAGGGAGATTGCTCCGATCATCGTATCCAATCATGTATCATACATTGAACCTATTTTCTTCTTCTACGAGTTGTTCCCGATCATAGTCTCATCCGAGTCGCACGACTCAATGCCTTTTGTCGGCACCATCATCCGAGCAATGCAGGTTTTCTTACATATCCATTTCTTCGTGTTACACAGATATTTTAGATATTTAGATTTTATATCTATTAGATTAGATTATTATTATCTAAGTTGTAGAATTATGACACTCTGAAACATGCATAGGTCATTTATGTTGATAGATTTTCAAGATCGTCTCGGAAACATGCTGTCAATGAAATCAAGGTAAAACCTTCGAAACAATCGAAGTTACGTCAACTCTTTCATATTTCGCCTTGTCATCTATATATTAGCTAGGTAAAATTGTTATAACTCTCATTTGGTTTCAAAATTTAACATACAATTTTCCTGTACTTTAAAAATTGTATGACACCCCTTTATACTTTAAAAAACGTTACATAACACTTCACCACCATAAAATCTCCCTTGTGTGACGATAATATGATTTCTTATTTATATTTTTTGCATGACGGAGGGTTTCATAGAATATTTTTAAAGTATAAAGGAGGCTCGTGCAAATTTTAAAGTAAAGTAAGGATTTATGCTGAATTTTGAAATTAAAGAGTAGTTTCATGCAACGTTTTTTAAAATATAAGGGAGTTCTATGCAATTTTTAAAATAGAAAGACGAATTTACGCTGAGTTTTGAAACTACAAATTAGTTATGGACAATTTTTCCTATTAGCTCTTTGATACAAAATTGTGCCTTCAAGGATTTCGAAAACAGAGGAAAGCTTCGTGCAATCGGTTTCCGCAAGTTCTCTTATTTCCCGAGGGAACGACAAGCAATGGTCGAGTTATAATCTCCTTTCAACTTGGCGCTTTCATCCCCGGTTATCCTGTCCAGCCCGTCGCTGTTCGCTATCCCTATGTTCACTTCGACCAATCTTGGTACGACCTTTTTTCATTCTTCGTCGTCTCTATTTTTCCCTCCAATCTTCGATCCTCACAACACGGAATTGTTTTGCATTCAGGGGTAACATTGCGCTTGGAAAGCTGATGTTTCGAATGCTTACGCAGTTTCACAATTTCATGGAGGTTCGGCTCATTTTTTCCCTTTTCGTTTCGATGCTGTTGAGATATTTTAGATATTTAGTTTTAGATTTAGTAGAATTACATTTACATTTGGTCTTGTCCATATATTAGATTACTTAGATTTAAGTCTATCGAATATGTTTTATGTTGCCTATATATAGATGCTTTTAGTAGTTGTCGATGAAAGTTAGGAGCTTTTACTTGTCGTCGACAGGTCGAGTATCTCCCCATAGTGTCGCCGAACGAAATTCACAAGGAAAGTGCCGCGCATTTCGCTCAAAGGGTGCGCACCGGATGATTTCGATTTTTTTTTTGTCGATCGTTTCGATCTGCCTGAAATCATTATCGATTCTTTTTGTTCGATGTGTCTCTGCAGACTGCTCGCGCCATTGCGACTGCTCTCAATGTGCCGCAGACTTCGCACTCCTTTGGAGATTTCTTGCTCCTTGCGAAGGCTGCAGAATCGAAACAGGTTTGGCGCTCGCCGGAATTAATCTTTTTGAATTATGGTTGGGCGATAACGAGTTTAATTCTTTTTTTGTCAGGAAAACACGGCGCTGTATATGGTCGAAATGGCCTGGATACAATCGGTGAGTTCGAGTTCGATACGTGCTAGATATTTTTTATCAAACATTTCGACTCGAATGGTGTCTGAACTACGATCTTTTTATTGCTATCGCTTCTTGTTTTCAGGCTTTGCATCTGAGGGCTCTGGAGGCTGTCGAATTTTTGGAGATATTTCTGTCGATGAATCCCGATCGGAGGTGTTGTAGTCAAACATTTCTCCTATGTTTCGGGATTCTCGATTCACAACTTAGATTTCGACTCGTCGTCGTGCGTCGAGATATTTTAGATATTCAGTTTTAGATGTGGTCTCATCCATAAATTAGATTATTTACATTTGAGTCTATCGAGTCTGTTGTATATTTTATTTTGTTTATACATAGGTCATTTATTTTGATGATTAATAAACTTATGTTTCACAGTGTGTTTCGTTTTCGTATTGTCGCAGCGGATATGTCGAATTCCATGACTTCATCGGAACTCTGAGGCTCAAACCTTGCAGCCTCGCCGAAAAGGTAGCTGTCTGAATTCAATAGCTTCCGATTCTTGTAATAAAATCTCAGCCTCATCGCAGTTGTTTTTGCGCCTATTTCATATCTGCAGATCTTTGGATTCGTCGATGTGCAGAAGCTCGGAAAGATAACATTTAAGCAGGTATTGTTTGATGATACTATGCGTTTGCTCGCACCTTATTGTTTGGACGGGAGTTTGCGAGTTTTTATCATCGTACGATGCTAATCTTTCTCGCATTCGAACATCTTTTGTTGCCTTAGTTCTTAGTCGGTTCAGCTCATGTATTGAAGCAGCCGCTATTCCGTCATGCTTGCGAACTTTCGTTTAGAGAATGCGATGTAAACGAGACGAACTACGTATTAAAACCCGAGGTTTGTCTATGCTTGTTGCTCCCTTCTCCTCGAAGTTTGCCTATGTTGGTTTCATTCTCTGACATCCTCGTTCGATTGTTCTTACCAGTTTCACGACGTAGTTTCAATGGCAATCCCGAGCTTGAAATTCGATGAGGCGAGTTGACCATCCTTTTATATATATATATATATATATAGGCTGCAAATCTTGTGTTGATCAGACCCAGTCAGCATGATGTTGATTTGACCTGGTCAATATATGCTATATGGTAACCGACATATATTTATATGTATGTTTGTGTTATAAATATGTATAAATATATGTTGTTCACCCTATAGTATATATTGATCTGATTCAATTAGCATCACGCTGACATACAGTAAACTCGACATTCGGACAGGGCTAAAAACATTCTAAAACTTCTTACAAGCGATGTATCATCGCAATTTTTCTTTACGATTCTCGTCATAGAAATGATGAGAATTCTTCATTCTTTGAACTCACAAATTTTCGATCGTTTTGTTTATAGATCGACGCTCTTTTTACTCTATTCGATGTGGATGGCGACCGGAGAATTAGCAAAAATGACTTTGTCCTTTGCATGAAAAGGAACCCGTTGCTTATCGCCCTTTTTGCTCCAAAATTGGTTCGAAAAGGCGTGTCCTTACCCGAGGCAAGCCTCGTCGAGGAGGTGTATTGAACGCGCGGATTCGACAAATTTTTGGACATTTTATTATATTTTATTTTATTTTTTATTTTTTTCACACCTTATTCGTATGTATCATCGGCATCTTGTCCAAATGTTTTGTTTCTTGTTGTGTAGTAAGTCTTTGTTTTTGGGGGTGTAATGAATGGTGGACAATGATTTTGATTCGATCCCTAGTTCTTGTTTTCGGTTTAGATAAGAGTTTTGAAAATTTTAAGAATAATAAAAAATTGAATACAGAATAAGTATTAAATGGATTTTATAAATTATTCTTTTGGTGGATTTTACTATATACATTATTTATAAAACTATAAAACAATAATAATATATATTTAAATAGTAATACAATTTAATATTTTATGAAAAGATATATTTTTTAAAAATGTATATTATATTTATACTCTAAGCCCAGCAGAGGTCAACCATTTAACAAAATAAACTATTTTTTATATTAACCATAGAGTTGCTTATATTTAACACCAAAAAGCTAAAAATACTTACAAACACCTGTGTTGTGTTCGCTTGTAGAATTATTTATCCAATTTTTTTCTTCAAAAATATCGAATCAAACATCTATTTTTTATTTTTTATATTATACTAAAAATCAATTTTATATTTAAAACATCACATCAACACCTATTTATATCACATTATACAACGATTTCAATTAAAAAAATATCCAATTTAAATCCCAACTCAAAATCCAAACTCCCAAACAAACATATTTTATAACATAATGGTTTTTTCACTTTGCATTTTTAGATGGACGTATTTTTAGGTTAAATATAAAAAATTATATCGATAATATAACAAATGATATTTTATATTGAATACTTAAAGTGAATAATATATATATATATTACTCCCTATGTTCCAATGTAATATAAGTGTATTACTGTAGACACGGGAATTAAGGTAAGTATAATTAGTAAGTAATTAAGAAGTGTATTAGTAAAAATAATTATTATTTAGTAAAAATAATTATAGATTAAGATTAAGATAAGTAAATAGTTTAATTAAAATTAAGAAAATTATAAAATTTAAAATTTAAAATGCGATTAAAGTACATAATTATATTTCCAAAAATAGAAATGACAAGTTATGTGGGACAGACGAAAATAGAAAATATGGACAAATTATGTGGGACGGAGGGAGTATTGTGTTAATATGTATAGGCTGTATTTTTTTAAATAGTATTTTAAAAAAATCCTTATGCCAATAAAACAATAAGTAAACAAATTCAATATATATACATAACAATAAAATTAAAAAAAAAAAAAAAAAAAAGGAACACAAATTATTATTCTATACTTTCACAATTGTGTAATTTTTTCAGGGTAATAGAGATGAAAATATGGAGCCCAAATTGCGCCATTTTGTGTGCCCAAAAGAATACAAAATCCAGTTGTCCATGTATTAATTATGCACTATATTTTGGGCCATAAGAAAATTAAATTTAGGGTATGTTTGACAATTAGCTGATAGTTGATATGATTCGATTAGCTGTTTGTATTAAAGTGTTTTGTAAAATAATGGTTTGATATTAGCTGTTTATATATAAAATAAAAATTAAGGATATTTTATCTTTTATTTTCAAAATATTTAGTTGAGTTTTTTCGGTGTGTAGATCTTTTTAGAATTTTATTATTAATTTTAAAAATTAGAAAAAAAAATTATTTAGATATTTATTTTTATTATTTTTATAATATTTTGTAAAGAATTAATGCAATATACTATATTTTTTCATTAGAAATAGTATAAATATAAAAAAAAAAAAACCATTAGTATATGTATTTTTCTTAGATTAATTTTCAATTAATATATATTCACATTAAATTTCTAATTTTAAATAAATATATTTATTTTTAGTAATAATATTATATGATAAAAAATACTATATAAATGAATCAATAATATTACTTTTATATTATCTTTATTTTTAAAAAAAATTTATAAAATAAGATAATTGATATATAAAAAATAATTATTTTAAATTTATAAACATGAATATATAAATTATTAGAAGAAAATATACTAAATAATTAATAAATAGTGTAATAAAAAAATATTAATGTATGTGAAATAATTAATTAATTTTTTAAAAACAAATAAAAAAAAAATTAAAATAAAAAAACTAGTCTGCTATATTTTTTTCAAAATTATATTTTTAACCCAATAAACTAATTGAAAATATTAATTTATCAAACACTAAAATTTGCTTGTTTACTTAGTAAATAATTAAAAATTATTCAATAAACTAAAAATATTTGAAAAAACTATTTATCAAATACACTCGGTGATAAATTACACTTAAATAAAAGTAACCATATAAATGGAAATAGATAATAAGTAAAGTGATATTGTTATAAATAATCATATAATTTGCCAACCGGTTCGTGGCAAGTCACGTAGATAAAAACAATAATAATATTATAATATAAATGGGCTTTTCCTGTAATGACCATTTCGAATATATATTTTGATTTATAATTAGCATATATCATCAAAGTTAAATATTAGAAAATTTCATTTTCTTACTGAAATTAATACTAATTTTATTGATAAATCTATATATGCATTTTATTTTGAAATATTTTAAAATATAACGCGTTTATTTTATAATACTTTTTTTTTTTTTTGTGGGTAAATTGTTTTTTTTTTTAGTTCCGTAGCTGGACTTCCTTATCAATTTAGTCCCGTAAGTGGAGCATGTCGCAAATTAGTTCTATAAGTGAAATTTTTTTACTGTTTTAGTCCTCCGGCGCCGGAGATGCCCGCGTGGTTCGCCGGAGGTGACGTGTCCGCCAGGTGTCGCTGACGTGGCGGACACGTGGATTTTTTTAATTTTTTTTTTCATTTTTTAAATTTTTTTAAAAAATTTATTTTAAATATTATTTGTATTTTTTTTATTTTTTTATTTGGTCCAATTAAAAAAAAAAATTTAAAAAGAAAATAAATAAATAAATCCACGTGTCCGCTAGGTGTCGCTGACTTGGCGTGACACTGGCGGACACGTTACCTCCGGCAAGCCACGCGGGCATTTCCGGCGCCGGAGGACTAAAACAAGAAAAAATTTTTACTTATGGGACTAGTTTGCAACAGGCTCCACTTACAAGACTAAAATGATAAAGGGGTCCAATTGCGGGACTAAAAAAACAGTTTACCTTTTTTTTTTTTTTTTAAGTGTTATGTAAAATATTCTAGCAATAATTGAAATGAGTATTTTATACCATACTTTTTTTTTTTTAATTCTCACTAATAAAAGATGGGCTAAATGCAACAAATTCAGTTAGTAGAATAAATAATAGTAACGTGCATTTTTAAGGGTAAACCGTTTTTTTAGTCTTGTAATCGTAAGTGGAGCATGTCGCAAACTAGTTCTATAAGTAAAAAAATTTTACTATTTTAGTCTTTTAGTGCCGGAAACGCCCGTGTGACTCGTCGGAAGCTACGTGTCCGCCACGTCATCGACACCTGGCGAACACGTTTCATAAGTAAACATATACACAAAGCTAGATATATTTTTTCTAAGAAATTATTTTGAAATATATATATATAAAGATATGCGAGCAATAATGGTATGCTCCAATATATAATCTTATTACTAAAGAAAGCATATCTAATAACAAAGGCTTTTGGCCAAATCTTAGCTAGTTGTCCACTTATACTTCTGCTAATCTTTTTGCTTCTTTATTTAATTATTATTGTTGTTATTATTATTATTATAAAAAGTTGCACACATGTCAACCAATTTTGATAGCCTAAATATATATTATTAAAAGTTTGTCATTAATGACAAAATTACACTAATCGTGTTAGAATCTTTCAATCCCAAATTTGAAGAATTTAATTCAATTGAGTAGCTTATAAACAGAATTCAAAATTGGTAGGAAGAAAGCTAATTTGTATTCACCAGAAATCAACTTGAGTAAGATCAAATAGCAGAATATGGGTAAATTATATAATAATTTCCTGTGTTTAACTAAAATTGCACTGAACACCTGTGTTTTATTTATTTATTTTTGTGAAACTCTATTATGTTAATTTAAAAAATTTGCATAAAATATTATTCTTACCCAAAGCTGATGTTTGATTCTAAATAAAATCTTAAATTATGTAAATTTTATACAAATAAAAAATCTAAAATATCTTAATTTTTTTGAATAATATAAATAAATAAATAATTGATCAATCATTTATTTTTACAATTTTTTGTAAAAATTAGATGGCAATTTGTCTCCAAAAAACTTTAAAATGTAGGATTAATCAATTATTTATATATTTATTTTATTCAACAAAATTACTTAAGATATTTTATCTCTTTTATTTGTATAAAACTTGCATTATTGAATTCATAGTTACAATCAAATATCAGTTTTGGACAAAAATGGTATTTCGTGCAAACTTTATATTAACACAAAGGATAAAGGAGTTTCATACAATAAATAAAACATGGGGTGTTTTATATATTTTTACTAAAACACAATGGTATTATATAATTTACTCGCAGAATATATATATATATATATATATGTCATGTAGGAACCATATGTTACAACCGACATAATCCATTTAACAAACTATCAAATTTGATTGGATCAACATAACAAACAATCAATCAAACTAGAAAATTGTCCCGTAAGGATGACTGACGGTCTGCATGTGAATTTGTGATTGTGAAGTTATAGGTTCAAACATTCGATGCTTTTGGATCTTCTCTGCTATACATAGTTCATTCAATATAACTTATCTTATCAGATCTAATTTACAGATATTAAGTTTAGCCGAAAGTGTATGTATAAATAACAACCACAACCAACATTGTAATAAGTTTGAAGCTTTCACTTCTTCGACTTGGGAAACAATAGCTGCAAATGTATGGTTCCCTTTAGATATTTGAGGACTAAATGAAGGTCCTCAAATGACAATCTGTAGGGTTAGATTGAACACTACAAGAAATTATCTATTTTGTAACGATATTTTTTCGTTCCTAAATTCACTTTTTCCGTTACTAATGATATTAGAGACAGAATTAGAGATGAAATTATGTTAGCTACGTGAACTTTAGGAACGGAATTCCGTTACAAATATACTATTTTTTTGTAGTGGAATAGCGTAAATCAAGTCGAGTAATGTAAAATAAAGTAATTTTTCTATCAGTCTTTCGTTTATATTGGGCTTAAATAAGAAAGTAAG